GCTGCCCCCTCCCTGGCAGGGTTCAAGGCCAGGTTGGATGGAGCTCTGAGCAACCTGGGCTGGTGGAAGATGTCCCTGCTGATGGCAGGGGTTTTTGAACCAGATGAGCTTTAAGGTCCCTTCCAACCCAAACCTTTCTATGATTATTATCATCATTATTATCATCTTTATTCCTGGGTCTGTTAGAGTTCTGTAACTGTGGGAGCTGTGTGGAGACCGTTGGGCAAATCTAGGTGGTTTTGCATGCAATGCTGACCATTTCACCTTGCACTTTAAAGAGATTTTAGGAGGTGCAGACACGCCCTATGAGAAAGGAATATTCAACCTGGAGATCATTGTTCCTGAAAGGTGAGCGGGCAGCGGCGTGCGGGGAAGCTGCTGCAGTGCTTCTTTCAACTGCGAGTTAACTGGTGTGAGATATTTGCTGAGTGCTACCCATCTGGCCTTGCCTTTGGCCACCCAACCAAGAATGTGGTTGATTAGGTGAGACCGTTCGTTTGTGGAATGCAATTATCATTTCCATTGCCTGACACGCTTATTTCACACTGGGCATCCCAAGGTGCCAGAGTAACAACCTGAAAGCACTATGGCAAGATCTTGACCTTGTCATATTGCCTCAAAGCTTTCTGGAAGGGAGCTCTCCCGCCAGTAGAAAGCTTCCTGCCGCGTTTGCCGCTTTGTGGCGTGCTCCCCAGGGAAGCACTAGTCCGGCGGAGCACTGCCCGCTCCGAAAACCCCTGGGGAAGGATAGCGCTTAGTGGACGGCCGGGAGGAGTAACTGGTGGCATTGCTTGGGCAAGGAAGCAACTGGCGTACGAATATAAATCCAATTTTTTTGTTTCTTAACACTTACCCCTTATAGGTACCCCTTTGAGCCCCCAAAGATCCGCTTTCTGACCCCTATCTATCATCCGAACATTGACTCTGCTGGGAGGATTTGCCTGGATGTTCTTAAATTACCGCCAAAGGTAAGACAGCGCTGCGTGGGTAAGTGAGCCTGGAGAGGGTAATGAACTCCTTATCTTTTTCTTGTAAAAGCCTGATTGAATGTCTGTTTGCTGCTGACTTATTTACATGGGAGCACAGGAGTGAAGTTTTCTGAGTGGCGGCGCCTTTGTTTAGAGACTAGAACATGACCTGCTTTGTTCCCTGCAAGTTTCCAAGGTTTTAAGGGTCGGAGTCTAAAGGCATCTGCGAAAAGGGGCCACCCCAGCCCCGACCCGGCAGAGACGTGCAGGATACGGCCGGGCAGGCTCCCTCGGCCAGGCCCCGGCCCGCGTGTCGAGAAAGGGTCCGGTGCTCTTCCTCGGGTTTAGGCGCTGCAGGTCCTCAGGCGGCTCGTGGGCGGGCTGCGTTTAGATGCCCCAAGTCCTGAGGTTTCTCCAGGCAGCCCGCGGGCCAGTTGCTCTCCGCTTACCTGCGTCTCTCGCCCCGTTTCCTCGAAGGGCGCGTGGAGGCCTTCCCTGAGCATCGCCACGCTGCTGACCTCCATCCAGCTGCTGATGGCGGAGCCCAACCCTGACGACCCTCTCATGGCGGACATAGTACGTGAGCTCCTCTTCCTCCCCTGCTGGCGCCGCCTGGGGAGGAGCGGTGCGGTAGGCGGGGTCACTCGCTCGGGATTAACGCGCTGGCGCATCGCGCGGCAGCGTCGCTCAGTCTGGATCCGGCCTGGGGGCGCGACTGCGTTTCCCCGCAGCGGCTGGGGCACGCGCGATGGGGTTTATGCCAGCGGGGAAGGTCTTGGCTGCAAGCCTGCCGGCGCAAACGGCAGCGTGCGTTCCTCAAGCGCGCGAAGGGAATTCTGCGCTGCGTGCTGCACGCTGGTAGTGGCTTTGGTCTGGTTCTAGGAGGCCTAAAGCCAGCCCTTAGGCCCAGCTTCTCGGTGTGATGTTTGTACTCAACCAAAGCGCTGTCTTTGTCTTCCTCCTCGCATTTAGTCCTCGGAGTACAAGTACAACAAGCAACTGTTCTTGTTAAACGCCAGAGAGTGGACTGAGAAACACGCGAGCCAGCAGCAGAGGGTGAGGAACGCGCTCTGCTTCCCCAGCTGAGTGTAGCGCTGTCTTTGCCAACAGCCTTTCTCGTCTCCATTTGCCTCTCGTGATCGCTTTGTGCCGCTGTCTTCAGCAGCGTTCTGTCTTTCCTCCCCTTCTGTTCTGTGTTTTGGATGCGTATTTAATTTCGTTATACTTTGTTAATGTAATTAGATTCGCTCCTTCCAAATAAGTGTTCATTCACAAATCATTCCAGCGCTTCTCAAGGAGAACGAAGGCCGAGGAAGCCTGGAGCCTGACACACCCTTCCCCGGGGATCCTGCAGCCCTGTTTCTCTCCCGGCTCTGCTCCCCCCAGACCCCGTGTTCTCCCGTGGCTGTGCCCTGCTGCTCAGCCATCCGCTGACAGGTCTCCCTGAGCCCCGGCAGAGCGCAGCCTTCCTCCCGCTGCCCTTCCTCTCCCTCCTGCTCCCTCACTTTGCTCACTGATCAGTCGCATAAAAACAAACTGCGCTTCCGCAGATCAAAACCTGGTCCCAAAAATCTGTTACGTTTGGACCTTCTCCCTTCCCTGGGGGCTTCCCTCCCTGCCCCCGAACTGGGCAGCGTGCTTTCTGAGGGGATCTCTTCTGCCTGGAGGCCCCAAGAGCGGTGCTTGCTGTTCCAGCTCCCACCACATTTTCACGTTAATTGTGTGGGGTGTTGGAAGGCCGCAGGGCAAAGAGACCATCGCAGCACCGCTTCGCCCCAGAGAGACCCGGCTCGTCCCCCCGTGTGGCACTGCCGGGCTCGACCGTTCCCCTGCTCTCCTGTCCCCCCCTCCTCGGATTCCCAGCGGTGGGAGCAGGCTGAAGGAGGGGCGCTGCGTGATGCCGGGCGTGCGGTCAGCTCTGCTCTTCGTGTTCGAGGTGTCAGCGCACGCGGCTGGGAGCGCACTGCGGGGCTGGGGGCCGCAGCACCTGACTGCTCACAGCTGTCACTTCTATTTCTTGTGCTGCCGCAGGCTTCCAAGCCTTTGGAAGAGAAAACGAACCAAAGCGAAACAAGTGCCGCCAAGGAGTCAGCCGTGCAGAAAAGAAAAGGGAGTGACAGCGGCAACAAGGAGAAGAAATCACGCCTGGATTCCTAAGTGCTTTTTGTTCTTCTCGTGGCTGTCGCCTTCGCTTTGTGTTCTGTTCTCGTTACGCAGCCATACCTGAATATTTTGGCCAAGATGTAGCAGTAGGAGTCTTTGTTTTTCTATTTCCCAGGGTTTTTTTGTGAAAAGTTCCATTATATAAATAAAATACAAAGCTTTAATTTTTTTTATGCTTTGTTGTGTGGAGTTTTTGGAATATTCTGAAGTAAAGGAGAATTGGAAGGACCAGTTCAGCTTCTGCTTTCCAGCTTTCTCTCAGAGACATGGGAACAGCACAGAGTGTTTCTGCTTCGCTGTCCGTGTCTCAGACCAGAGAGCAGAAGCTGAGCGACAGCTGCCTCGGGAATCCTTCCCCAGTAAAGGCCTCGCTGTCCTTGTTGGGTCCAGGCTGCTAGAGACGAGTTGGTCGTCAACGCTTCAGGCTCTGAGCCTTCAGCTCCTCCGGAGCAACCTGCTGGGTCCCGTTGTGCCTCAGAGCGCTGAAAAGCCGAGAGGGAAAAGCACCAGCGAGAGAGATGAGGAGCAGCCCCGAGGGTGCCCAGAGACCTGGGAGCGGGGTGTCAGGGAGGCAACGTGCAAGCGGAGGAGGATGAGGAGGGCAGGTTTGGGTGGTGCACGGGGGACAGGGCTCCCTGGCACCAGAGCAGCTTCATGGCATGAAGACCGATGGCAGAGCGTGGCGGGAGCGAGTTGGGTGCTCTGTGTGGGTGCCTGTGTGGAATTCAACCCGTGTCCTGCTCTGAGGAGAGCGAGTCGGGATTCGGGGAAGCAATGGGAGCGCTGAGCTGCAGCGCTGTGCTCTGACGCGTGAGGAAACGGAGCGTCCTTGCCTGCTGCTCCCGCAGCCCTCGGCTGCTCTCCGCCGCGCTTCGCCCTGCTCAGTCGAAGTTGTAATAAAGGCAAAAGGCGAAGAACATGGCGAAGATCTGGAACGACAGGACGGGGGAGCAGGGTAGGGCCGCGCTCGCCCCTCGCTGCGGCTGCTTGCTGGAATCTGAGAGCCCGAAGGCGAAAGGATTCCCGTCCTCTGCTCCCGGCCGAAGCAGGCACCGGGTGATGGCTGTGCCACCCCGAGGGGTGCACAGGGGACACCACGGAGGGGGAGGAGACCTTTCCGACCTTCCTGGGGTCTGCAGAGAGCCTGACACCCCCCCCTTCCAGCGCCCGCGGGAGCAGATCGACCCTCCCCAGTCCCTCAGCCTGGCTCAGCCAGACCCGCGGGACGTGCCCCCGCTTTCTGGGTGCGATCGTGACAACTCGAGGCTGGGCTGGGTCCCCCCTGAGCCCACTCACGGTCCCTCCTTCACCCCCACAGCACCCTCCGGGCCAGGCGAGCCTGACGAGGCGACCCGCTGCCGGCCCCG